GAGCTCCTTCCAGGTACGTCAATAAGTCCCGGGCCACAGCCCTTCCCCCTCATAGGCCCTCATAGGAGCTACTGAGCTCCTTCCAGGTACGTCAATAAGTCCCGGGCCACAGCCCTTCCCCCTCATAGGCCCTCATAGGAGCTACTGAGCTCCTTCCAGGTACGTCACCCCCTAAGGGGCGTTTATATTCACTGTCTGCTCCTGAGAACCAAGCAATGAGGAGGTATGTAGAGGATTCCCTCAAGGCTGAAATCATTTGCCCATCCTTGTCTACTGCTGGCGTGGGGGTTTTTTTGTAGGCAAGAAGGATGGGTCTCTAAGGCCATGTATAGATTACAGGGGTCTTAATGACATTACTGTTAAGAATCGGTATCCTCTTCCCCCATGAATTCTGCTTTTGATCAGATTCAAGGAGCCAAATTTTTCACGAAACTAGACTTGCGCAATGCATACAATCTTGTTTGCATTAGAGAAGGAGACAAGTGGAAAACCGCATTCAACACCCCCACTGGTCATTACGAGTATCTGGTCATGCCTTTTGGGTTAACCAATGCACCAGCAGTCTTCCAAGCTCTGGTCAATGATGTCTTGAGGGACATGGTTGGGCACTTTGTATTTGTTTACCTTGATGACATTCTTATCTACTCTCAGGAACTGGATTCCCACAAGTGCCATGTTCGGTCGGTTCTTCTTCGCCTCCTCCAGAATCATCTTTTTGTTAAGGCGGAGAAATGTGAGTTCTACACCACTACCACCTGTTTTCTTGGCTACATAATTTCCCCCAACAAGGTGATCATGGATCCCTCTAAGATTTCAGCCATCTCCGAATGGCCCACACCCACGGATAGCAAACAATTACAGATATTTCTTGGATTTGCAAACTTTTACCATCGCTTCATTCGTAATTATAGCCAAGTACCATCTCCTCTTCATGCCATTACCTCGTCCAAGGTCCAATTCATGTGGAGCAAACAGGCAGAGGAGGCCTTCATTAGACTCAAGTCTCTGTTCACCTCTGCTCCAGTTCTCCGGTCCCCTGACCCTGCGAAGCAGTTTATTGTGGAGGTTGATGCCTCTAGCACTGGGGTAGGTGCTGTCCTAAGTCAGAGAACCACTGATGGTCATATTCATCCTTGCCTTCTTTTCTAGGACTTTATCCAGTGCTGAACGTAACTATGATGTGGGGGACAGGGAACTGTTGGTCGTCAAGCTGGCCCTAGAGGAATGGAGACATTGGCTGGAGGGGGCCAAGTAACCATTTCTAGTATGGACGGACCACAAGGACCTGGAGTACTTGAAGGCAGCTAAACGACTCAACCCCAGACAAGCAAGGTGGGCTCTGTTCTTTGGACGGTTTAATTTTGCACTCTCTTACGGACCTGGGACCAAGAACACAAAACCAGATGCCTTGTCAAGAATTCATGAATCCTCCCATTTGGGGGACAGTGGTGCAGAGGAGTTCATCCTCGAAGACTCAGTAAGGCTGACTGTGACCATGATGGAGCTGGAGGAGGAGGTCAGGGATGCCACCCGAGATCTTCTGGTTCCAGCCTCGTGCCCCTCTGACAGACTGTTTGTCCCAGAACACCTGGTTCCCAAGGTTCTCAAGTTCTGCCATAAGTCCCGTCTGTTCTGTCATCCAGGCATCAGCAAGACCTTA